GTATAAACAAATTGAAGAAACCATGTAAATTGCGATGTGTAATCACAAAATTTAAAAAAAAAACTGCATTTCAAGAAATCAGAATGCAAATTAGTGAGTATGTGAAAGACCATTTTTGATATTATCCTTGTTTATTTGCAAATTGGGTAATATGTAAATTTACGTTTAACTATGTTTTATTTTCAGTGATAAAAGCTTGTAAAAGTTGGCCCTGTCTAAATGGTGCTACTTGTCGTGATCAGAGTCCAGGACATTATACCTGTGATTGCTTACCAGGATACACGGGGGATCTCTGTCAAGGTGCGTCATAGACTAAATGTTATGGTTAGGTGAATTTAATAATATTATAAATGACGTAGATGTGTAGTGTTGAACAGACAGACACACACAAGTCAACAACAATATACTAGATTTGAAGAATAAAATTTATTCAACAAGAGATTATAAAATGTTATATATTTTAGTTTACAAAATGGGTAAACACGATGATTCTTATGACTGGAATAAAGTTGATTGGAACATTTTCAAGTTTAGCTCTGACGAGCAGAGACGACGTGACATTCAATGTGTATATGTGTTTTATACTTGTAGTACAATTGCCCCTACTATGTCGACGTAATTGCAATTTCGGTTCATGTGAGCTGGTGGAAGGTTACCCTACATGTCACTGTTATGACGGCTATGGTAATTCTCCAAGGCAAATGTGTTGGTAAGTGTAACAATCTATTATGATGTACACATATTTAACTTATTGAATGTCAACTTTTGCAACATAGTCAGACATTTACAGTCTGCATTTTTCTACATAACATTCTGGTGAAAATTGACAAATCTTTTGATCAATTACTACAAACAATGTCACAGTTTGTCCTTTCGATCCAAAATTGAAACTAAATTTATCAGAATATACAGAAAATGTAAAAAAAATATTAAATAAGTTTATGCAGGAAAAATAGTAAAAGAAACAAAAGTGGTAACTAACTGTCAAGTGTCGGTAAGATGTACCAACCTTGGTGCAAAGGAATTGTGTAATCCTTATTACATTGTATGAGTATTAATATTATTTCTTTTCAGATTTAGACATGTGTTTACAAGAGAGGAACGACTGTTCTCAGATTTGCGTTGATTTACCAGGCAGATTTCAATGTCTGTGCAGACAGGGCTATTTTTTAGAAGATGATTATATTACATGTACAGGTACATATAGTTTAACTTCATTTTCACATGTAATACCATTACTCTTTATTTATGGTTTTTATATTGATATGTTGATGACGTCATATTTAAACCAACAGATATTAATGAATGTGAAAGCAACCCATGCATCCATGGAACCTGTAATGATGAGATTAATGGGTTTACATGTACATGTTACCCTGGCTACACTGGAACTATATGTGGTGACGGTACGTTATAACAAGTTATAGTTATAGATACAATTACGTATTTATTCTAAAACTACACAACATGTCACGCGAATTGACGCACTCTCTAATTATTGACTGGTTTTATAATTGCGTATATACAGACTTGTCAGAAAGTATTCAGGCACCTTTAAATTAATCATTTCTGTAATCAAAAATAACAATTCTGGATAAAATTTCGTGTTGTCTTTAAAAAAATTAAGATTGTCACAATCATTTGGCTGATTTGTGTTTAGTTTTCATATCAAAGATGCCTAAAATGAAACATCCGAGACTGAACAAAATGTCTAAATATATTAGTCGATGTGAAAACATCGTCTGGAAGTAGCACGCAGTACATGTTTCCTTTCATTTAACATGGTATTTACAATGCCGTTTATTCAGTGTTATTTACTAGTAGAATATATAGCTGTTGGGCACCGAGATAGAGACAGCTGCTGATGTAGATATAGTTTCACTAATAATCTCATACATTGCTAGACGGTAACACATAGTGTATGTGTTGATATAAATTGTTACATTTACAGAAAGAAAAGAATGTGCAAAGTTATCCCTGTTACTATGGTGACTGTACTGACTTAGTGAATGCCTACCAATGCACGTGCTGGCCCGGTTTTGAATCTGCAGAAGAGAACTGTTTAAGAGGTATGATTTCATTCTCTATTTAATAGACTGGCGTCATGTACACAATGGAGAAATCTTCCTAATAGATTATCACTTGTAACATCAAAGGTAACAGTCTTCGTTACTGTTCCCATGTGACATACAGGTCATCGAACTGTTGTGTCACAGGCTTACATTTTTGCGAATGTCAGTATGCGGACGTTAGCTTTCCGGTCAGTAATATATCTCACTGTCTGTTGTCATAACGTTGTCCGCAAACTGTCATTAACAGGGACGCATTTATATATATTTAGCGCACGGCTTGACCTCTTGACCAATCAGAATCCAGGATTTGCAGTGAATTATAATTTGTAATTTACTATTTGGCAGACTAAATAATCATACAATTAGCATAGAAAAATACACGAAATTCTACAACTCTCTAACAAGAACATTTATTTCCAAAATGATAGACATGACAGTTAAAAACAAACTGTCCCAAACTCCCGACAGAACTGGATTAGACTCTGCTTTGATTGTCATAGGAGAACTTGACTTAATGTCTCAGTTTTGAAGTCATAGAAATTATTGCAGAATAAATATTATTTAACATTTTAAATGCTTCAAACGAAATTTAATGTTAATGATATTTTGTTTTGAATCACAAGAAATTGACGAGTGTGAAAGTAGTCCTTGTGTCGAAGGTCAAGGTGTATGTATTGACCGATAAACAGATATGAATGTAGATGTCGACCGGGATGGACTGGAATAAACTGCCAGACAGGTAAGATCGTATTATCATAAGATTAAACTGGCTTTATTGATGAACTTATTCAGCGCAGGTGATACTGACAATACTGATTTCCAACTTGATCATTTCACAATGCTACTGTGAAAAAACAATATAGAAATTAAACACGGGGTGTTGAGAACAATATTATGTAATGTAGCATCATGTAGTATTGATCATATTTTAAGTGGTATTTTCATAACATATTTCCCAAACCAGGCGTCGATTGTTCTTAGAAGTGTTTCACTAACCTCTCTAGAGGGCGCTGTTCACTACTACCAACCGAAAGAATTTCGGTGCAGCTATGCGCTAAAGGTCAAATAAATCACCATCTGGAGAGCTAGACCATTGCTTCGCCAGTATGCCAAGCTGGGTTGGGAAAAAGCGGTTCAATTTTGAGGAAATTTGTCACATATTCTTTGTTCTTCAATCTTTAATCTTATCTACCACACCGTAATCAGGCCACGGCGTGTAAACATGGAAATTGTAGAGCACGCCCATTGAATAATTAAAACTTTGGTTTCCAACATGTATTTCATAAATACATTCCTGTTAATGCAACTGAACTTATTATTGCCAACAAACATCTTTGGGGATCAAACATACAGTATGTACCCGGGCCGAGACGGAATCATGATCCTTAGAAACCTCCTCTCCCCAGTACAACTAATAGTTTCTCTAAAAAATTGTGTCACGGCGCCAAGCCGTATTCGGCCTGTGTTGACGCGTGAAACTAGTCTTCTCTCTTTTCTGTAAAATGCAAAAATGGACGTACATTGTAATTTTAATCATTCATTCAATAACGTTTGTTTTTATGTGTTTATATATTATGTTTTGTATATTTAAGGTAGAGATGCAGTTTACCTGGCAGGTATTTTAATTAGTTAATTAGGAAACCATGATGACCTCCCTTGTCCACAAAACTATATATTTTCGGAAAAATTATTGCTTGAATTTTTAAGTTTTGTTAGTATTTTATTTTTATGGACACTGTAGTTCGAAATATGCACAAAAAAGTGCATTTTTGGTCAAAAGTGATTTAAAAAAAATAGCTTCTAAACCATGCTTCTGTTTCCTGTCAAAATTGGTTTATGGGTACATCTGTCTACTGTGAAGTAATCGCCGTCTTGAAAACTGTCTACCAGTTGTCAATTTTGTAGGGCAGCAGCTCATATTTCACTACTTCAAGTTTATGCATAAATTAACATTCAGGCTAGTTGTCTGTACGATTGCGGTAACACTATTCAACTAAAAACAATGCCCCGACGGCGTTTTGAAGATAAACACATTGTCAATCATTTGTGAAAATTTCAAAACAAAAGGTCAAAGCGTCTCGGAGCTATTTTTTTTAAGTTTTGGAATGTGCACTAAAAAGAAGCTGAGATAATTGCTAATTTGCATAACAATTCACTCAGTCAAAAGTTTGCTAACGCTCATAATTAAAATGGCTGTTACATTTTCAAATTTAAAAGTATTGTCGTTTTGTAAAAGGTTAAATACAGGGCATAATATGGAGATCCCGTCATTTCATTTTTCACCATGTTTTTTTTTTATTATTTATGTACAGCCTTGCTAAATTTTGCTAAGCATTCAAAAAAGATAATTTTGCACCTGTTATCTATATTTTAAAATCGTTTTTTGAGTATGTTCCACTATTCACAATTCTACAAAATATCAACCGTCTACAGCCAAGACTTTTTTGGATAATAAATAGCAAAAAACAAAAATTCACTCCCAAGTGCCCACGAACCTGCATCTCTACCTTAAAATGTTTCCTTATTCATAAGTATTATAATGTTGGTCCCATGAGTATGTGTTCACAAGATTTCACAAAATCAATCTCACAAAAAAAAAACTTTCGGTTGAGTTGTCCAACTGGGATAATAACAACATGTGTTACCTTCTATTTATGCAATGAATTATGATCTCATGTGATGAATATTTAAACTTTCAGACATTAATGAATGTGACAAAGGTTTGGATAATTGTCATATCTATGCTAATTGTACAAATACTGTGGGAAGTTTTACTTGTCAATGTCATGATGGATATTATAAAGATGGCAATGAATGTAAAGGTAAGAACATTTACTGTCTAGAATTCACGTCAACATGTTACATTTGTATGTATTAGTGTTGTGATTGTTGGCACATTTGTATATCACAGTGTTCATTCCGTATGGCAACATCTGATTTTTGTGTATGGCAACATTTACTTTTTGTGGATGACAATAAATGATTGACAATATCTGCTTATTGTGTGCGGCGATATCTGCTTGTTGTGTGTGGTGTTATCTGCTTATTGTGTCGTGCGATATATGCTTATTGTCTATGACAACATTTGCTTATTGTGTATGGCAATATTTGCTTATTGTGCGTAGCGACATTTGCTTATTGTGTGTGGAAATAACTGTTTATCGTGCATGGCGATATATGCTCATTTATGTAAGCCGATATTTGCTTATTGTGCGTGGCAATATATGCTTATTTTGTATGCGATATTTGTTTATTGTGCGTGGCGGCATTTGCTTACTGTGTGTGGAAATATCTATTTATTGTGCATGGCGATATATGCTTATTTATGTATGGCGATATATGTTTATTGTGCATGGCGATATATGCTTATTGTGTATGGCAACATCTGCTTTTTGTGTATGGCAATAACTGATTGACAATATCTGCTTATTGTGTGCGGCGATATCTGCTTGTTGTGTGTGGTGATATCTGCTTATTGTGCCAGGCGATACTTGCTTATTGTGTATGGCAATATTTGCTTATTGTATGTGGTGTTATCTGCTTATTGTGTCCGGCGATAGATGCTTATTGTCTATGACAATATTTGCTTATTGTGCGTAGCGACATTTGCTTAATGTGTGTAGATATAACTGTTTATTGTGCATGGCGATATATTCTCATTTATGTAAGCCGATATTTACTTATTGTGCGTGGCAATATATGCTTATTGCGTATGCGATATTTGTTTAATGTGTATGCGATATCTGCTTATATTTATGTATGGCGATATTTGCTTAATATGCGTGGCAATGTATGCTTATTGTGTATACGATAATTGCTTATTGTGCTTGGCGACATTTGCTTACTGTGTGTGTGATATCTGCTTATTGTTCATGGCGATATATGCTTATTTATGTATGGCGATATCTGCTTATTGTGCGTGGCAATATATGCTTATTGTGTATGCGATATTTTTTATTGTGCGCAGCGACATTTGCTTAATGTGTATGTGATATCTGCTTATTGTTCATGGCGATATATGCTTATTTATGTATGGCGATATCTGCTTATTGTGCGTGGCAATATTTGCTTATTGTGTATGTGATATTTGCTTATTGTGTATGGCAATATTTGCATATTATGTATGGCGATATATGTTTATTGTGCATGGCGATATATGTTTATTGTGCATGGCTGTATTTGCTTATTGTGTATGACGATATTTGCTTGTGTGTTGTAACATCTTTTTATTGTATGCGCCTATGATGTTATTGATACAAAATGTTTCCTGCATTAATGAATGCGTACGATATATTTCAGTAGTCTAACCGCACAACTTTACGGTGTAATATAAACATTGAATAACACACCTTTGCTGGAAAAGATGTCGATAACTTGAATGATACTATGAAGTTATTACGGGAATACCTCAAAGTATGCACGAAGACAGTACAGCAGGAGTATCGACCGACGCGCGGCGTACTGTCTGAGTGCATACTTTGAGGTATTCTTGTAATAACCTTATTATTATACATCTTTTTTTCCCAAGCATACATCATAGGAATGCCAAAATTTCAAATGTTTAGAACAGAATCAGCGAACCTCTTTGTGTGGAGTCCGATCAAACCCTGGTGGCAGCCATATTTGTTTTTATTATTAGAGGACACTTACGCGCGTATTTTTTTTATTTGGAATTCGCATTTCCTTATATGGTAGGATGAAAATACCCCGTAAAATACCGCAAAATTACTAACGTTGTAACTTATGGCGTTACGGTGACAGATGTTTAATAATATATATTAATATTAGTAGTTATCTACTTATAAATTTATTATGTTATTATGAGTAATTGCTTACATGAATTATGTTTTAAATTGACCAGATATAAACGAATGTGACGAGGAACCTTGCAGCCATACCTGTACTAACCTATCCCCTCAAGAGAATAGTAAAGGATTTCTGTGTTCATGTCCAATAGGATGGCGATTACAAACGAATGATGTAAACTGTACAGGTAGGTTTTTATTATTAGTAAATGTATGTGATGTAAAAA